GTCTTCAAAGTAACCAAGCAACCTAAATTAATTTGTAATTTGTCTGTCCAATGACCTTGCTCCCTTTCATGTCATGTGATACCTTGCGTGACGAGCAAACCATTTAATCAACCTGTACTGTAGCTAGCAGCAGCAAGTTCGGTAGCATTATAAAAAATGTAATAGCTTGCATTTATAATGTACAGCAAACCAAAGCACAAGAGCAACGCTCAAAAGAGAAAGGACAAGAGAGAACAAGGAGATGTAACAGCTAAACTGACAAAATTAGTTTTTTTGTCATACATCGTCCTCGAAATCGAGCGCTAACGTTAGCAATGTTGACGTGCAGCGGCAGCCGGAGCCGGAGGCTAACGATAGCTCACCACCATCATTGCCATCTAGCTCCACAAGTGAAGCTGTATCCGTGGCTGTGGCTGTGTCTGGATTTGGCTGTGCCCGGCGGTGGTCCAACAGTTCCCCCAAGGGCCCCAACCGATAGGGGACTCTATGGCGCTATTGAGACCCCCGACACCAAGATCAAAAGCTATATTATAGCAACCGGTCTATGTAGGCCTACCGGCCCATTCCCCAGAGACAAACATCAAGGAAACAGGTTTAATCCTCTTCTTAGTTCGCTGTGCCGTTGTCAGGCTGTGGTGGTCTGAGGCCAGGGCAGGCTGTTGTTGCTAGCCTATACATGTGGCGCTTCTGAGTGGTTGTGTATGTCCGTGCGCTTATGTTTGGGGCGATATGGGGGGGGATTATTTTCTAATCATAAATCTAATCGATAGAAAATCGAAAATTATAAGAGATGGGTAGACATGTGGAGATTATCCGGCTGAACAAAACGTGATCCGTCTCTTAAATGTGTGTCAACCACAGACCTTATTTCCAGCTATTTTCCAAAATCCTATGGAGAAATTGCATTGCTTTTTTGTCGAAGGAACCGGAAGAAGTTTACTTCCGGGTTTTAGGACGCATCACCAGAGTTGGGTGTAACGCGTTACTGTAATAATATTACTTTTGTCGGTAACGGAGTAGTGTAACGCGTTACTTTTATAATTCAGTAATCACACTACAGTTACTAACATTGCCCCGACACGCGTTACTTCGTTACTTTTATAAAATCAGTCAGCGATAACTTTCGAGGGGTGGAGGTATGCCCATTATTTTGAGTTTGTCCGAAGAATAGACAGGAATGTGACGGTGAGGTGCAAACTGTGTCCAGGCCAGAAGCTGTTATCCACTGCTGTAAACACCACGTCAAACCTCAACAAACACCTGCAAAGAACACATGCTAAGGTGAAGCTAATAGCTAAGGACCCCCCGAACCCAGAGTGAGGATGTTGTGAGTGCGCCGTGCCGACTCCGAAGCAGCAAAAATTACCGGTAACCAAAGCAGAGATGGACAGGCTTGTAGCATCTTTCATAGTAGAGAAAATGTTGCCCATTTGCACAGTGGAATCACCATCGCATCGTTCAGAGATATACTGCGCAAAATACAGATAGCAGGAGACAGAGGACAGCCATAGTCAGAGCTATCTGGATCAGTCTTATGCGACAATGGAAACTGAACTAAAGAGAACATTTGAAACTTTAGCAGTCTGCGTGATCTGCCTGTAGGGAGGGGCGGGCCGGCCCTGCGAGTAAAGTAACGAGTAAAGTAACGAGTAAGTAACGAGTTACTTTATGTAGAGAGTAACGAAGTAGTGTAATATATTACTTTTTTTTAAAGTAATATGTAATATGTAATATATTACTTTTTTTTAGTAATGACCCCATCTCTGCGCGTCACTGCGGTTCTCTATTGGGACAGCCTTCTTTCGGCGGAAGTGACGTATGTGGTCTACAAATGCAGCCTCCGAAGGGTGCAGCCCCTGAATTGAGACACGGCCAGAGAGTACCAAAATAAAACAGGAAGTGGGAGACAAGACAAAAATTACTTAACAAAACATGAAACATGACAAGACTAACATTTTGGACGAGACACAACAGTTTTGTCTCAAGGAATGCAATCAGGCAGTCCACAGTTAAACTGTATATGCAATTTACTTGGAAAACACATTAAAGTAAAGTTATACACTGTCAGTGGCAAATCTTAGTGAGTGAAATTTTACCATAATGGATGTGTTAGAAAATGACCATCGCCATCATAAAGGAGCAGTTATTCAGACTGATCAAAAGAGCACAAATCCGTAATATGCAACCTGTTTTGAAGCATATGTGCAATGTCCCCTACTGTTATCCTCTTAGGCGACTTTAACATCCACATTGACGACCCATCCAATGTTTTTGCAAATGATTTAATCTCACTCCTGGACTGCCTCGATATCACACAACATGTCAACATCCCAACAAATAACAAAGGTCACATACTGGACTTACTCTGCTGCACTGGCATCACTCCCATTAACCTTGCTGTCATTGAATTCCCCATTTCTGACCATAAAGCTGTAATTGTTGATATCCATGCCCCCCTTTCCAAAGCCAAAGAACAACGGTCCATCACCTTCAGAAACATTAAACACATTAACCCCGCAGATCTCACCACTCTGACCCCAATCCTCCATCATCCGCCCACCCTGCTGACCTGGTGAATCACTATAATAACTGTCTCTCCTCTTCCCTCACTGGGCCAGGGGGCTCCCCTGAAAACTCGCAAAGTTTCATTTACCCACTCCGCCCCCTGGTTCACCTCTGAGCTACGTCAGCTCAAAACAACTGGCCGCCGACTGGAGCGGCTGTGCAAAAGCACCGGACTGTCAGTTCACACGCAAATGTACTCGGATCACCTTCACCTCTACAAGAACGCGCTTTCCAATGCCAAATCCTCTTATTACTACAACCTCATCAGCACTGGTAACAACAGAGTTCTCTTCTCCACAGTCAGTCACCTACCCTCTCCAACCCTTCACTTCCAAGACCCTTGAGAGGGTGGTTGCCGCACAGCTTCAGTCCCATCTTGACACAAACAACCTCCATGAACCCTTTCAATCTGGTTTCCGCCAAAAACACAGTACTGAAACAGCCCTGGTTAAAATCACCAACGACCTCCTCGTGCATCTGACTCCGGACTTCTCCCCATCCTCATCCTCCTTGACCTCAGCGCTGCATTCGACACCATTTCTCACTCACTACTCCTGGACCGCCTGGCTGGCATTGGGATCACTGGTGTTGCACTCTCCTGGTTCTCATCATACCTCACTGACAGACAACAGTTTGTACAACTCGGTAATCACAAGTCACAAGAAAGTGCTATTTCACTGGGTGTCCCCCAGGGGTCAGTACTGGGTCCACTCCTATTTATCATATATCTCCTCCCCCTGGGCACAATCCTCCGTCACCATGAGGTTAATTTTCACTGCTACGCCGACGACACACAGGTCTACATTTCCTCCAAACCCACCACTGCCCTGCCCTGCCCCCCACCTCCCTCACCACCTGCCTTGAGGACATCAGGAGCTGGATGAGCAGGAATTTCCTGAAGCTTAACAGTAGCAAAACTGAGGCCCTGCTCATCGGCTCCAAATCCTCCCTCACCAAGTCACAAAACACCCCAGCACCAAACATCATCATCGACGGCTTCCCCATACCATTCGCTGCCCAAGTGAAAAGCCTCGGTGTCATTCTGGACGGCTCCCTCTCATTCGCACCACACATTCAAAACATCACCCGCACTGCCTTCTTCCATCTTCGGAACATCTCCAGACTCCGCTCATCTCTGTCCCAACCCAGCACTGAAATCCTGGTCCACTCATTCGTCGGATTGATTACAGCAATGCACTTCTGACTGGCCTTCCCATCAAACTCCTCGATAGACTGCAAATAATCCAGAACTCTGCTGCCCGGATCATCACCCGCACCAACTCATCCGACCACATCACCCCCATTCTCACTCAGCCACACTGGCTTCCTGTACGCTACCGTATTGACTACAAACATCTTCTACTCACTTATAAAGCTCTCCATAACCTTGCCCCCATCTACATCACCGACCTCCTTCAGGAGTACACCCCCTCCCGCACCCTCCGCTCTTCGTCCGTAGGACTTCTCACCGTCCCAAGCTCTCGCCTCAAAACCATGGGTGCTCGAGCTTTCAGCTGCTCGGCTCCCAGACTCTGGAACTCCCTGCCACTACACATCCGACACACTGTACAACACACACCTACACACTGTACCACACACACCTACACACTGTACAACACACACCTACAGCTCCTAAAGCATATATATATATCAGGATACAGCCGTTGTGTATTTTATTATGTGAAGCACTAAATGGTCTTAGAAAAATATCGACTCTTTGTTTGTAGATATCTACTAAACTAAAGCATACAAATAAAGAGAGTAGGCCTGTTATACTGAGTGATATATATTATACACACTGCTCTGCTTTCTGCACAGACCTCACAGCTGTTCTCACTGTAAACATTGCGTCGCGATGAAAGCAGTTACTAAAATAATATCTAGGGGATGCATGCAGAGCTGTCATTGGCTGAGATAAGTCCGGCCGTGCGTCACGCCTCCACCGTTCCCGGAAATGCATCCGCAGAGGACCCATCAGTGTATCCTCGGTTATAGCTCCTCCAGAGAGCCTCCTCGATGCTCGGTCCTCGATGTGCATTTAGAGAAATGAGATGTCCTTCAACATGGCGCGCTGAAATCCATTTCCGGGTCACTACCGGAGGACCGAGGAGTCGAGGAGTCGAGGAGGGGAAATTAGAGTATTGAGAAGCCTCTCTTCTGTCCTTTTGTGGCCTTCTGTAGTCCATTTCCTGTTGTTTGTCTTGTTTTACCCCGGCTGATATTTCACTAAATCCACTGTTTGAATTGTTCCCTATGCCCTGTAAGGTGTCCTTGGGTGCTATGAAAGGCGCCCCCCCAAATAAAATGTATATTATTATATTTGTAAAGTGTAAAGTCAATGAGTTCTTAACAGGAACAGAATCACTTCAACTGAAATTATGCATAAAAAAATATACGAGACAACATTTAGATATATTTATTATATATATTACAGTCTATAACAGAGTTGACAGCTATACAATATAAAGAAATAAACATTTAATATAAGTTGTTGATAGATTTTAGGATTTCTTCAAATAAAACAATTTCATTATCACTCTTATAACCTTTTGTCTGCAGTTTGACATCTAAAAATAAAACCCCTTTTTTGCAAAAACAGCAGGCATCTAAAGTTAAAAAATACAGTGGAACCATCGTCACCGGAGTACAGCTCTTTGGCTGAAAGGTAGAAATGATAAACATCTCCATCAAATCACGAATAGCTCCAACACTACACATATTCCATATTGTTCAACCTCAAATCATTTGTGGTAACAGGTTCTAAATGCAAACTATTTAAAGTGATATCTCCAAGATTTTCCACTTATTGTTGACACATGCTGCCTCGAGTTTATAAACCATTACATCATTGTCAATAAAAAGAATGAGCATCTTGGAGATTGTCTGTGACTGAAGAACACGTTCACATGTTACAAACCTTCATGAAACCGTCCTTAAACAAATGTATTAATAAGCCAAGCTCATGTCAAATGTTACAAATGTGCGGATGTGATTCCACGGTGTAGAGATGTGTAATATCTGTTTTAATGCTTTAAAATCTTTTGGGTTGTTAGTGCTCCTAGCGCCCCACAAGCAGGTTGGTTTTATGAACGTAAACTAAAACCAATGACTGGGAGGAAGCAAACAAATCTACAAACTGATGGTACTAATTGGAAAGTGATAGCACACATTAAAAGAAGCTTCCAAATCCCATTTCTTCCTGATTACCCTCTCAATAGAATACGTAAACAGGAACAAGTTGGATCGTGTGATGTGAAAATAAAAAATAAAGAGACAGTCTTCCATGATTGTTACAGGAATTCAATCTGTGTCTACTGTATGTTTCTAAGCTTCAGGTTCACTGTCTGAATTATCCAACTGTTCTTGCTGGAACAAAGGATTGTGAGCCATTTTGTGCAGATCCTCCGGAGCAATCTCTCTCATCGTCCCGTCCATACCGAGCTGCATGGGCTGGATCAGGTTGTTCCTGCAGGGAGAAATGGTTCACATGTGATAGTGTGAGTACAGACTGCAGCATTGAGTGTTGAAAACTGTGTCAGGAATAATTACTGAAGAACATGTGCAGTTAATGCCACTGTGACAATGCCACAAGTGTAAAATAATATGTTTTGATGTAGTTTGTCCCTCTCTCCCCTCCTTAAAGGGGACCTATCATGCAAAATGCACTTTTGTACGTCTTTTATACATGAATATGTGTCCCCGGTGTTCCAGGGAACTCACCAAGTGTCAGAAAACACAACCCTCTCTATTTTCCTCCATACCCAAATCTCTAAAAAAGGGGCTGCAACGGATCTGATAAAAACTGATCCAGATTTGAACACTGTCCTGACGTCAGGACTATTGGGCCAACTCCACCAATCAGGAGGAGACAGCCACGGCCATTGCCGTATGAAAGCGCTGGAGACGCTGTAGTATATATGCCAGGCCTCTAGATGGTGCTCTAGATGGTGCTGTTGCTCACAGAATCAGCCCAGAGCTAGAAATTGTCAAATTGAGCAAAATGAGGCATGGCTAAAATGCATGATCTGTTTGGTATTTTGAAAAAAAAAAAGTATAAATATGCCTTATATAGGTATGGTCCTACACTATATTATTCAAATATAGCATGATAGGTCCACTTTAAAGGAACCCTATTATGCTTTTTGGGGTTTTCTCTTTCCTATAGTGTGATATACTTTATAGGTTTTTATGCAGCATGTAAATGGTCTGCAAAGGTTGACCAATCAAATCAGAGCAGACTGGGATCTGGTTTCAGGGTGAAAAGAGGTGCTGCAGCACAGGCAGTATGAGACACATAAAGAGCCTTTTGAACATTAAAGCATGGAAGCATACAATTATGAACCTGAAATGAGCATAATAGGGCCCCTCTAACATGTCTCCATCAGGTGTGCTGTTCCCCACAGGTGTAATGGGGGCGTGGCCTAGGGAACTTTAAGTTTAGTTGGAAATAAAGGGGAGAGAGGGAGGACGGGCAGCTTGCTCAAGTGAATCAGGAAGCTCTCAGCTTGCTTTCCTTAGATTTATTTTGGAGATATTAATTTATTCAGCCGCACTAGCAAGACACTTCCTGTGGTCTGTGAAGTTGACATCTCTCAAGTTACGTTTGTTTGTGCTTTTGTTATTGAGCAATACATTGTTTTAACCTTGCTACAAACTTTCCTCCGAGTGTTTTTCTTTGGTTGGATTATTCAATATTTAGATGAGCCAAATGAATATCAGCCCCTGTCATAACCAGGTTTTAACAGAAACCTTCATACAGTAACCCATTAAATGTTCAATTATATATTTGTCATATACTGTAGCTGTTGCAATGATTTCAACCAATTTCAAATGTGTGTGTGTGTGTGTGTGCGTGCGTGCGTGCGTGCGTCTGTCTGTCTGTCTGTCTGTCTGTCTGTCTGTCTGTCTGTCTGTCTGTCTGTCTGTCTGTCTGTCTGTCTGTCTGTGTGTGTGTGTGTGTGTGTGTGTGTGTGTGTGTGTGTGTGTGTGTGTGTGTGTGTCATGCTGTTATTGACCTGGACAGTCTGTCAAACATGCTGACCAGCTTCATGGCTTCAATTTCTTTCTGCTCCTCTGTCATCCCCTCCATGGGATCGGGCTGATTCTCCTCCACCACTCCTGTCACCGGGTTAATACTGGAAAAGAAAGGCATAGATAAATATCAAAGGAACAGAAAACCACTTTTTTTTGTTTTAAAGTTAAGCAGCTGTGCATAATTATTTAAACTTTAGTTCACATTGATTGACTGCTCATGAATAAAACACCTCAAGGTCTACTAAGTAGCTGTTTCAATCATATCACATGATCTTCATCAGGTCATGATTGAATTTTGAAACTCAACTTTTAGGTCTTTTTATAAAGTAAAACCAGGACATTTAGACATAAGACAATTGGCCAGACTCCATTTTCTGATGAACATTGTATGATATGAGCAGATACTAACTATACATTTTTGTGTTTCATGTTTTATTTTTTTATTTGAAATGTAGTTTCTCCTTGTGTCTTGTCTTGTTTTACTTCCTGTCTCTGTGTTTTCCCACCTTTGTCATTTGAAGCCCTGATTCCTTCCAGCTGTGTGATCTCCTTGCTGCCTGTGTGTCTTTACCTGTCCTCCCCAGCTGTGTCTTATCAATGTAATAAGTCCTGTGTGTATATCTGTCCTAGTGTTCTCTGTTGGTTTGTCGGTTCTCCGGTCTGGTTCGGTTTGTCATGTGTCCTTGTGTGCCCTCCTTGTGTGCCCTCCTTGTGTGCCCTCCTTGTGTGCCCTCCTTGTTTTGCCCTCCTTGTTTTGCCCTCCTTGTTTTGCCCTCCTTGTTTTGCCGCCCTTGTTCCCCAAATCATCCCAGTTTGTTCCTCGTTTTGTTTTCCTGTTTCATTACCTTTGGTTTTTATCATTTTGCCTGATACCTCTGTGTTTTTTTTCTGTTTTTGCGAACAGCTTTAGTCTGTTTTGCTTTTGGTTTTGTTTACCTGCCTCCATTATGTGTTCTGCATTTAGTTCATCCCTGCTCTACTCTGCATTGTGACACGTTCTGGAGAGCTGCTTTTGCCAATAATCCTAATATCACATTTTCATTTTGTTTCTTTTCATTTAGTGTTCACTATTCTATTGTCCCTGGTGTCAGCCCAGCTGGGTCATCAGTGTACAACCACTGTGAATCGATTGACTGGAGATGAGAGAGAGCTTTTTTTTACCCCTTTGTACTTTTAGCATGCCACACAGTGTCGGACTGCTAATCAGCTGACCGGTAAAGATGCGGCCCATTGCATTCTGACTCTAGGCTGAGAAAAACTGGTTCCAGGGACACAGACATCAGCTCTCTGGTGTATACAACCCCAGAGCTAATGCAGACGACTGAAGCGTACAAAATATAGTCGTGCATGAATGGCTCCAGAACTAAGATCCTGGATAGGGATCAGACTCCTGTCTACAATGAGATGTTCACCTGACTGGATACACCTGTCAGAACAAGAGGATCTTCTTTTAGTGCCATACAACATGAGAGGGAGGCGATGACAGCTCATAGTGCCTATTCACAGAAACACAGTTCAGAGTCTCTCATATGGGACCTAGAGAGGATGCCGTGTGTGGGGGACTTTAACATTCTTGTAGGCAATATAAGGAGAGGACCCAGCTTAAGTATATATGTTTTCCCTTTTCTGCAGCCGGTGAGTCACTTCCTTTTTGGATATTTTTTCTTCTTTGGGCAAGGTTTTGTTTCACTTGGATAATATTTTTGCTTTTTTTGTGACATTTGAGTTCATTTTTGTTTTCAATTGGATTATTCAGCTGTTTTAAGAAAACTGCAGTTTAACTTGGACATTTACTGGCAATTAGGATAAAGAAATAGACTGATTATTACAGCGTTTGTGGTTAGAAGCCTGAAATAAGGTCTGTGGTCAACACTTGCTGAATAGATTTTCATGTTTTGTTCTTCTAAGACATCAAATGTGACAGTAAATAACCGACGGGTGAATGTCTGAAGCTTTTTTTATGTCCTAAAAACTGTGTTAACAAGTAGCTAAATGAGACTACTAAATGTTAGCATGCTCAAAATTAGCCACCTTTGGCTTAGCGTTGGTGTTTTCGGTAATAAGGGTAGCTGACAAAAAGACCTGGTAAACCTTAATGTGAGGTGGGGTCTGCTACGTTTTCAGGGGACTCTTTCCTGCATTGTGAGGGAGATTGAGTACAGTGTGATGGTGGTTCTTACTGGGCCTTGGCCTCTTTATACTCTTCTGTCTCAGACTCTTCATCCTCAGAGTAGATCCCAGAGTCTCTGGCCCCCCTCAGCAGTCCTCTGGCAGCCAGCAGACCGGCAGCATTCCCGTATCCTGTGTACTTAATGAACCTTGAAACTGGATAGAGCAAAGAACACAGGTAAAACAGTAGTATACAAATACTACTGTTTTAACTGTACTTAAGTACGATTTTGGGGTAATTGTACTTTACTTAAGTATATCCATTTAATGCTACTTTATAATTCTACTCCACCACAGTTAAGGAGCCAATATTGTACTTTTTACCCTTCAACAATTATTAAACAAGATTAGTTACTTAGTTACATATTCATATTATACGTTAATACAAAATAAACATAAACTAATACATAAACTATGCTACAAAATGATAGGTTATGATATTGAGCAGCAGTATACAAAGTGATTCAATTAGCTCTAACTTTAGCAACTGTGATGAACACATTAATGCATGCAGCCCGGATCATCACCGGCACCAAGGCCTCAGAACACATCACCCCTATCCTCATCCAACTCCACTGGCTCCCTGTTCAATCCTGTATCAACTTCAAAAACCTACTGCTCACTTACAAAGCCCTACATAACCTGCCACCCCCCTGCCCCCCTCTTATCTGGCTGACCTCCTTCACCCCCTCTCGCTCCCTCCGCTCCTCCTCTGCTGGTCTGCTAACCGTCCCCACCCCACGCCTCGTCACCATGGGTGCTCGGGCTTTTAGCTGCACTGCTCCCAGACTCTGGAACTCCCTCAAAAATTCAAACCTGCCTACTCACTGTAGTGCTCCCCATTATATGTTTCATTTGTGTCCACTTGACTGTCTCCTCCATGATTTCCTGTTTGTGTTTTTATCATGTCCTGTTGCCTATTAGCGTTTTCTTTTTTAACAAATCGTACGGTGTCCTTGGGTGTCATGAAAGGCGCCTAAAATCAAATGTATTATTATTATTATTATTAATAATAGTAATCCAGTTATCCAATATGTATTATTCTAAATGGGACATTACACACAATAACTACTTTTAATGTTAGTACCTAAAGTACATTTTGATGCCAATACTTTTGTACTTTTACTCAAGTAAGATTTTGTATGCAGCACTTACTTGTAATAGAGTATTTTTACACTGTAGTATTTCTACTTTTAAGAACTGAGTAGTTCTTCCACCTCTGCCAATACATTACTGCAATGTCAACAAAACCAATACAACGAGCATTTGATTGTAGCCGTAACCTTTTAAATTATTTTTAACCTTTACAAGTGATAAATCAAGATGTTTGATGACACACTGAGCCAACGTCATAAAAAAAATGTGTATGAATTATTAGCAAAACAGATATTTGTCTCACCATTTTCTTTGCAGAGAACAAACAGGAATTCAGCTCCACAGTCCTTGACGTCGGTGTCAATGTGCGTCATAATGCGCACCAGCTTGTTCCTCAGAGCATTGCCCACCTCGGGCTTGGTCTTCACGTCACGCAGTGGGGGTAACACCTAAACACACACACACACACACACACACACATACATACACATACACATACACATACACGCGCACGCGTGCACACACACACACACACACACACACACACACACACACACACACACACACACACACACACACACACCTGAGCCACCTGAACACAAACAAAACTCATCATTAATCGTTTCAATGTTCATTCTGTCTTCCTCACTGACCTTTGACCTGAGGAACTTCCTGGTCTCTCGGTGGATTCGGGCACTCTCAGTCAGCAGGTTCAGGGATGGGAGGAGGGTCTCCTTCAGCTTAAGCCCCTGGGAGTCAATGTTACTTCATTATACATGAAAAAACTCAGCTATACTGTAACAGCAAGTATAAGTTTCATCAACACTGTTTCATGTAAAACAGAGATGAAATCAATTCTAGAATGAAAATACACACCATGTGAGTACAATATGAATACAATGTCACAGCACAGGGGACAGTGCAAATCAAATGCAAAAATCAAATGAGGAGGTTAATGGAACATTTAGAGACTTCTGGATGTGTGAGGCTGTGGTTAATGGACATGAGAAGTGTCTGCTCACAACTAAAGATAAGCTCAGGAGGGAGATGGTCTTCCTCAAATCAAAAGGTCGATGTGGCAAGATACTTAACCCCAAATTTCTCCCGATGGCCACGGTGTGTGAGTGTGTGTGAATGTTAGTCTTCTTAAGCAGATGGCACCTGGCATTCAACTTTGAATCTCCACATTGCCTTATTTTGTGTAGGTACTTACCGTGAGAGTGGATGTGCTATTACTTTGCATTTGGGTTCAAACTGGAAGTGGGAAAAGGGGTGGGGCTACTAGAGGTCAATGGTGTACTTTTACTCCACTACATGTATTTAATACCTTTAGTTACTTCACAGATCTGGATGAATGATGTGAAATATAATCAAGTGTTAAATCAGACTTTAGTTCCACCTGGAGTAAATTCACAAGCTACCCTGCAGTATACAAAGTCATTCAAACTAGCTGCACCTTTACCAGCTTTGAGAAGACTTTCATGATCAATCAATATTATTCTGAAATGGACCAATCTGCGCAATGAATACTTTTACTTTTGGTACTTCAAGTATATTTTTATGCTGATACTTTTTTACTTCTTTTTGAGTAACATGTTGAATTGCAGGACGTTTACTTGTAACAGAGTATTCCTACACTCTGGCACTTCTCCCACCTCTGTTTGCCTCTGTATGGCAGACAGGTGTGGGTGAATGGGTGATTGCGAGATTGAGAGATTGCAAAACTGGAAAAAAAACGATACAAATTAAGTCAATATACCATATACCATTATATTAATATTTTCACAGAGTTATAGATACTCCTCATGATAAGTAACTGACCTTTATTTGTAAGATTGGTGGAGTGCTACTTGAAGCCAAAACACAACTGGCTTCTCAACTTTCCGAACAATCAGCCAATCAGCAGCTTTGTCATCAACTTCTGAGACCTACATCGTAGCTAACCAGAATGATTTTTGAAGTACAATGTAAATGCAACTAGTTCTTCTCCACTGCTTTCTGTCAGGAACATGATCCACTAGGTATTTTAATTGTTTACCAACAGTGTGTGAGCATGTGTGAATGTTGTCTCCCTGAGCAGGTGGCACCTTGTATGAATGTGGGTGAATGGATGAATGCTGACTTGGAAATGTAAAGCGCTTTGAGGTATTTTAAAGACTGGAAAAGCGCTATATTAATGCAGTCCACACTGGAAATGTGTAGCAACCAGATGCCACCCTATTATTTTGCTACTTGATCACATAGACACCGTTCATCAGTTAATCCTCCAGACATACTCCAGCTATAGTGACAAACATCATCCTTACAGCAGTGTGCCTGGGTGTGTTTATTTACTTCCCAATAAATAAGAATGATTACCAATCAGGCAACATCAATGTGATTTAGAGGTATTAAACCTACATACCCATAGAGTGCAGTCTCACCTGGTCAAGTCTACTCTCCATGAACTCCAGCAGCATGTTGACAGCATCCATGTTGACCCCCATGTACTCAATAGAGCCCTGCTGCACTTTAGGCACCAGCAGAACATCCAGACAGGGCAGAGGGAGGTTTCCTAGCAGGTTAACAGTATGGCTGAGAGAACAGGGAGAGAGATACATTGCTTTATGAATGAATGAACAGAGAATCAGCTGTGCAGGTGAAGCGTGTGTTCTTGTACCTGTGGAACTCCTCATTGCGCTCCTCTCCCTCGGCCTGGCTCAGCAGACAGTGTCTCAGGATGGCCCCCACATGTCTGTACTCTGCTGCGTCCCCCTTCACACACAGGCAAGACACACACATTGGTCACGTGTTCCTAAAACAACCTCCATCACTGTAAATGTGTCTTCATTGTATATTTGCATTTGCTTGTGTGTAAAAAGCTAAGAAATCTGACTGACAAATGTTCTGTTGTTTTCTGAAATTGACATTTTTGTATTACCCTGACTTTTTGTTTAGTCAGTGGCAGGGGTGTAATGTAACTAAGTACATTTACTCAAGTACTTAACTTAAGTACAAGGATCAATAACTGTTACTGTAAATTGAGGTGTTTTTTACTGCCACTTTATACTTCAACTCAACTATGACGAAAATAGGGAAAAATTGTACTTCACTATATTTATTTGACACTTTTTTGGTACTTTGCAAAGTAAGATTTTTGCATAAAAACACATCAGTTAATTTAATATGACATTATGTTATACATTAAACTAATGGTCAATGGATTTCAGGTGTTTTCATCTCCAGAGGATGAATTCTAATGTCTTTGAGCTGACTGCACTGAGTGTGTGTGTGTGAGGAAGTCCGTGGATTGGTCAATTTGGACCAATCAGCGGGGGCTTAACGTAACGGCTCCGCGGACGTAACGTAACGGCTCCACGGATTGGTCCATTTGGTTCCGGGTACCGCATGACGTTAAGCCGTACCCGGAAGAAACATTGGACAATGACGTATCAGTGACGAATCTCCAACGAGGCGTTCTGGGGCAGCATAGACAGGTCTTTTCTGTGTTAGAGTTTTACTCGCTACAGGGTGTACTTTGAGGGTTTTTGACTCTGCAGACCGTTTACATGCAGAAAAACCTTCATAACACACAAGGGGACGGGTAATAACTGGAAAAGCATGACATGGGCCCTTTAAGCATTTAGCTCAAGCCCTATTAGCCCAAGTACTGTACAGCTGGGAGAAGGCTGTAGACTCTTAGGTGCAACACACACCAGCCACACCACATGTGTGATGTCATCCTGTGTTCATGCAGACAGAAGATACAGTAGCTTGGACGTACCAACACCAGGAGATCATTTGATATGATTGCTACTTCAGGTAAGTCGGGAAAAAAAGACGTATCCTTATGAATTAATGTACAAAGTCTACCACGGAACATAGTCAATCAGTTCGAACATCCAAACACATTTTAAATACGTGTCGTTTTTTTTTAGTACCTCGTCAACCTTGCGTCTGTTGGTGTCAAATGTGATATTGAAGAGTATTTTCAGTATTTCCATGGCCCGTTCTGTCGGCTGCCGGCTCAGGGGGGGCAGCTCTTCGAGGGGGACGCCCTCAAAGCCCGCCCTGGCCGTCTCCAATGTGTCCGGCCAACACAGACCCAGCGTGGCTTCCAACTGGTTGCCTAGAACATACACAGAGGGGAAAGTTATGTACTTGTGCTCTCTCACCTAGTACATTTGTACCTTCTGTTTACACAACCATTTACCTGTCTGATTATGTTTGCCTATTTTTTACATGTGTTGTTAAAAACTTATCGTGAGTTTTTGGCACTTAGAACATCTTAGGGATAGAGTGATGCAGTTAAGACATATTTTTGTAGGCCAACCCAGAAGATAGCATTGAAAAGACTCCTCGACAAAAAGCAATGAGAATTGGATTTTGTAAAACACCAGAAAGAAATATCTTTGGCAAACACACAATTAATATACTTACAGGTTTTGTTGAGCAAGATCTCCACATACTAACACCACCATGATTTTTAAAAGCTAACGTTAGCTTTTAACAAACATCCCAGTCACATGACTTCATGTCACCGCTAAGCTAAAGCGGCTAATGTTTGGTGTAATCAAGGTTCAAGGCTCAAGGCTTTTATTGGTCATACGTACATAGCTACAGTGTAGTTATGACGATTAAAATCTTAGGTCACAGGCTCCTCCAACAGTGCAACACAATAAAACAGAAAAACAGAAAAAACTGTGCAAGTAAATACAAAAAGAAAAATTGTGAAATAGTGAAATAGTGCAATAAGAGTCTATATACAAGTGATTGGACTATGATATATTGGATACATAATTTCTAAATTGCAGCCAGATTAATGTTATGGATGTTGTTTCAAAAGTTCAGGTGTTTAACAGTCTTATGGCCTGTGGGATGAAACTGTCCCTGAGTCTGGTGGTTTTAGTCCTGATACTGCGGTACCGCCTGCCAGACGGCAGCAGACAGAACAGTTTGTGGCTGGGGTGATGGGGGTCTTTGATAATCCTGAGAGCCGCTGGGAGTAAAGGTCCTCCATGGATGGCAGCTCCGTCCTGGTGATGTTCTGTGCAGTTTTCACCATCCTCTGTAGAGTCTTATGGTTGAGGGCGGTGCAGCTGCCGTACCAGGCCGTGATGCAGCCAGTCAGGATCCTCTCCTATGGTGCACCTGTAGAAGGTCAGGATGCTCTCTATGGTGCACCTGTAGAAGGTCAGGATGCTCTCTATGGTGCACCTGTAGAAGGTCAGGATACTCTCTATGGTGCACCTGTAGAAGGTCAGGATGCTCTCTATGGTGCACCTGTAGAAGGTCAGGATGCTCTCTATGGTGCACCTGTAGAAGGTCAGGATGCTCTCTATGGTGCACCTGTAGAAGGTCAGGATCCTCTCTATGGTGCACCTGTAGAAGGTCAGGATGCTCTCTATGGTGCACCTGTAGAAGGTCAGGATGCTCTCTATGGTGCACCTGTAGAAGGTCAGGATGCTCTCTATGGTGCACCTGTAGAAGGTCAGGATGCTCTCTATGGTGCACCTGTAGAAGGTCAGGATCCTCTCTATGGTGCACCTGTAGAAGTTGCAGAGTATCCTGGAGTCCATGTTGAACCTCCTCAGCCTGCGGAGGAAGAAGAGCCGCTGTCTAGCTCTTTTGGTGATGGTGGTGGTGTGAAGAGTCCATGTCAGGTCCTCAGTGATGTGGACACCGAGGAACCTGAAGCTGCTGACTCTCTCCAGCGTAGTCCCATTGATGGCGATGGGGGCGTGTCCCTCTCTCTGCTGCTTCCTGTAATCCACAATCAGCTCCTTGGTTTTGCTGACGTTGAGATGGATGTTGTTATCCTGGCACCAAGATGTCAGGTTTTCGACCTCCTCTCTGTACGCCGTCTCGTCGCCGTCGGTGATCTGGCCGATGACGGTCGTGTCATCAGCAAACTTCACGATGGTGTTGGAGCTGTGTGTGGCCACGCAGTCGTGTGTGAACAGGGAGTAGAGGAGAAGGCTGAGCACGCAGCCTTGAGGGGCTCCGGTGTTGAGGATCAGGGCGGAGGATGTGATGTTTCCCACCCGCACTGCCTGGGGTCTGCCCGTCAGGAAGTTCAGGATCCAATCAATTTCCCTGCTTCTCGTGGTTTCCTTGCGTCTCTCGATGCTTCCCTGGTGGGAGGGACTAGTCGCAGGGAAACGACGCAAGTGAGGGACGCAAGGAATCCATTTAACCGAAGTGAAACGCAGCCATGGACACTAATGCAATAAGCATGTAATGGGAGCACTCGCTGCAGAATCCCCATTCATCCTTCGTTCTAATCCCTAAACGTGGCATTATCAGTAAGTCAAGTTACTAATTATTATCTTAGCTACAAGTGTTTGATATTATTTGTGATAATATAATTTTGTAGTAAGGATAATTATTTATTTATTTTATTTCCCCCACAGAAGTTGTGTGGAAGAGATAGAGTCCTTGACTTCTCAGATAAGTTCACATCAGAAAGTCAGTGAATATATAGCTCAGCCTCAACACACAACTATAAAAGTTAACCCAACAGTCAAGCATGAGTCTGACTCACGTCGTCTAGAGCAGGGGTTCCCAACCCCCGGTCCGCAGAGGTGTTACTGCCGGGCCGCGAAATAGCTGTGAATTTATCGTAATATTTGCAGAATTATAAATATATAAATAATTTTCGCACCTATACCAGTCATATTATTTCATCCAGTAGCCTAGTTAATCTTTCACCAGAAAACCGTTGAAAATGGCTTTTATGATGTTCCGAGGGATTCGGCGGCTCAGCCTAAGGTCTCAGCCTCTTGTGCGCACGAGAAAGTTACCGGTGCGCCAAGTAGGATGAGGAGCGCACAGGAGACAACCGTTTAATTGCAGACTCAATCTCAATCTCAATCTTTATTTATTTATATAGCACATTTAAAACAACCTTCAGTTGACCAAAGTGCTGTACAGGCAATAAATATTAAATAACACAATGGGAGTACAATAATAAAACAATAATTAAAAACATGATAAAAAGCACAATAACTAGAAAAATATTTTAAAAAACACATACAAATGTAAAAATGTAATGTTCAACTAGTATTAAAAGCCAGTGCAAAGAGGTGAGTTTTTAGCTGAGATTTAAAAAGTTCAATAGACTCAGCAGTCCGGATATGTACTGGGAGGCTGTTCCACAGTCTGGGAGCTGCAACACTGAAAGCCCTGTCACCTCTGGGTTTTTTCCTGCACCGAGGAACCACCAACATATTCTGCTGAGCTGATCGCAATGCTCTAGCTGGAGCATGGCGGTGCAACAACTCAGACAGGTAATGTGGTGCCAGTCCATGCAATGATTTAAAAACAACAAGTAAGTACTGGATCCTGTAACTGACAGGAAGCCAATGAAGGTCTGCCAAAACGGGTGTGATGTGGTCATAACGTCTCTTCCCAGTAAGAAGGCGTGCAGCCGCATTTTGGACCAGCTGCAGGCGACGGATCAAACACTTATCAACACCAATATACAGGGAGTTACAATAGTCTAAACGAGACGTTATAAATAGGTGGATTAGCTGTTCAAATTCCTTACTAGGAAGATAGGCCTTTACCTTCCCCAGAAGCCGCAGCTGGAAGAAGCTTGTCTTGACAACTGAGCTTATTTGTTTGTCGAATTTAAAACAGTTGTCAAAGATTACTCCAAGATTTCTGACAGAGGGACGGCTGTAGGAGGCTAAGGGGCCGAGTACACTATTAAAGCCATCCAGGAGTTCAGACTGTCCAAATATTATAATCTCTGTCTTGTTTTCGTTGAGAGTCAAGAAGTTGATTTCCATCCATGATTTGATGTCTTTCAGACAGCTAAGCAAGGCAATCCTAGATTCCTTATTTGCTTTTATAGACAGGTATACCTGCAGACTGTTATGTTTATGTGGGGAAATGGTGGTGGATACATTATTTGAGATATATTTCAAACTCGGACTTCATTTTAAGGACATGTCGGCCTGGGGTGTAGAGCTATTTGTTTAAGCACCGGATTGGCAAAACAGGAGAGTAAACCAGTCTGCTTTGATCTATGAATTCATGTCCGGGACTCTCACGGTATCTGCTGCCCGCAGCTGTTTTATAGAAGGAAAACCTCCTTCACTTCATGAAATGGCTGCAGCATCAGGTGGCAGCGGGACGTATACTCCGCCTCTGAGAAGTGCAGCACCAGCGGGTAAAGATGTGCCTTTTTACGCACCGCCTTCGCTGTGTTTACCTTAATCAGAACAGCGAGTGACTGCAGGCTGCTACGTGTTAACCACACACACCTCTACACACATCGAACTGCCCGATTACTTCCCCTTTTATTAGTTTTATGAAGGAGATGTCCAGTCACCAAGGCGCATGATGTGTGTGTGTATGTGCTCTGCTCAGCTCAGCTCTGTGTGTTCGGTATTTTTGTGTCTGTCCGACACCGGCATTTGTTTTCAAATGACCATGAACAGTAATTTACATACATCTGGCTAACTCCATAGGTATATGCGGGTGTTCCCAAAAGAAGTTAGTTTAATCTTATTCTCGATGTAGTGCTAAATGCTGTCGGAGTGCACCGGAACGAACGTCACTATCATAATATCTTCTGAAAAGAAATGCCAGTGTCACACAGACACACAGACACACAGACACAGACACAGACACACACACACACACACACACACACACACACACACACACACACACACACACACACACACACACACACACACACACACACACACACACACACACACACACACACACACACACACACACACACACACACACACACACACACACACACACACACACACACACACACACACACACACACCCTGGCGACCGGACATCTCCTTCATAATGCGCCTTCTCCATAGCTAATGAACTACCAGCACTTAATGACAATTACATTATAATATTACAAGTTACATTATAATATTACTGTCTCTGAAATGTAATGAGTTACACTACTTTTATATTACTTTTGAGTTACTTTACCAAAATAACCGCAAAAGAATGGCTAGGTATTTTAAATGCTAAAATGTAGTTTAGTGCAGCTCATTATACATCCAGTGAAGGGCGATGTGGTATAGCATAACAACTGTGTAGGCCATTAAGGCTACTAACAACTTTTATTACACGGCTTAGTTG